TCTTTCCCCTGTTTGCACCGGGCTCTCCTTTCCATTGCACTGATATCCCAAAACCCTAAAAGGCTTGTTCATTCGCCCTCCTCCTGCTGCAGTTATTTTTTTTCTCGTCTTGATCTTAGGTCGTCCTGTAACCGTCGAGGCCGGTGTGGGACGGCTCGGCAGGTACGTGGCGCCCTCGTCCTTTCCTGTTTCTTCCTGCGGTGCAGCGAGAAAGACGGACGGGCGAGGAACCTGCTCAGCTTCGAGGCCGTCCAGAGAGCCCCGGAAAGTGGGTTATGCTCCAGTGGCCGGGGGAGTGTTGGCTTTCGCTGCTGTGCTGCAGGCTCCTGGTGTGTCCCTGGAGCGGCAGCCCTGTGTTGTGTGGTTGTGTGGTTCTTCACCTGCGCACAGGAATGAGCATCGCAAAACCTGACCCACAAATCAGTGGAGCTGCAGGGTCCTTGAAAAACCGGCTGTTTGAAACCAGTTTTAGCAGTATGTTCTATTTATATATTTAAGACCAAGTGATTTTGCATACTCTACAGGAATTGTGCCCCTTAGTACTTCAGGCTAATACAATAATAACGTAAATAGTTCCCTTTGCACAAACAATATTTGTCGTAAAGGTTTTATTTCCAATCTATAAAATTTAGATTTTTTTTTTGCATTTTTGTTTTTGCATTACTGCTCATTTAAAAAAAAAACACAAATCTGTCTTTTATGCGCTAAAGCATGTTTTTACCATGTACTGTTAAGTAAAGTGAAGAGCAAGGGTGTAAGGCTACCTTTTTAAAAGGCCACCTATTTAGCTGTGCTGCAGTTAACCTTTAAGGCTATGGTGACAGACAGATCCTGGATAGTGTTTTATATCTTGCAGAACTCGCAAACAAGTTACAGTGCTCTTCTTTGCTTATAGTCACAGTCAATAGGCAAATATGCAATTACTTTATGCAAGCAATAAGCTGTCAATATAATCCTAATGCTGTTTAATATCACGTGTAGTATGAAGATTCATGCAAGTGAACCTAACCATTTCAAAACATTGTTTTTTTTTTGCTATTGCTGAAGTAATGTTACCGTTGTGCACATTGAATGTTGTAAATGTTTATCGTTAATCTCCCAGGGTCTTGGTCATTCATCTGATACCTTTGTATTATGAGGTTTATCTTTGTTTTCCTGAAGTACATTCAGGTTCGGCTACATTCATGCTGTTAACTGCTGCTCACTACCTGATTTCTGTAACTGGGGATGGTTCACCCTTCGAACTCTTGAATGTTAGCTTCTAGTTAATGCATCACTTTCAGAGAGCACTTGCTTTAATTACTGTTTGTTTGGTGTGCAGATATTTATGGATGTTTACTTTCCATGGAATTATTTAGTGGGGCTCCACATGA